ATCAGGAGATATTTTAGTATTGCAGTAGTCTTCGAAAAAGTTTTCTATGTCTTGTTTGATTTTACACTTTGTATTCATGCTTGATTCATTGCTGTGACATATTTTATTTTTATCTCGCACCGTGAACTTCTTCGTTTTACTTAAAACTTTGTGCTTTTTAAAACGGTCATTTTCCTTCATGACTATGTCACTAAACTCTCGTTTTTCTTTCTTGCCTAAAACTTTAAATCCATCTCTTAAATTGTTAGATATGATTTCTCCAAATAATATTTTTTTCATTACTTTCTCACGTTTGTCTTCGTCTATTGATTTGATCAAATTATCCACTTTCTCGACAGTTGATGGTACTTTAGCTTGTATTTTTCTGTGTTTTTTTATATGCCTAATCATAATTTTTCTCATTGCATACTTTTCTTTAATAACTTTTCCTTCTCTTGTTTCAGTTAACCAATCTCTTTCTTGTAACCATAGCGCAGTCTTCTAATTAATTTAACTTTTTTCTCACACTTTTTGTAGTTTACGCTAGGCACCTTTACTAATTGGTTTGACGGCCCTTCTAATGGATCTTCCCCAGCATCTATATTTTCTTCTCTATCGCTTGTTAGAGGTGAATTGTCAATCAGCATCTGTTGTATTACTCTTTCTTTTTTCTTCTTTTCTAAATAACGCTTACTGTTTTCGTTCCATTTTTTTCTTTGTAGTCTAAAGAGTCTCTTGTAGTCATTTGAGCAACAGATTTTACTTTGTTCTTTTCTTTTCAAATATCTCTATCTTTCTTTTTCCTTCTGAATTGCGTATTTTTTGGCATCGTTTTTAATTTCCTCATACTTTTTTCTCTTATGCAGTCTTGCTTGAGCAGATTTTTCCTCGCGAGTTTTTTTTGTTTTCGTTTTAGCCATACTAGTGCCTGACAAAAATAATATTTGTTAGAAATCATAATAATTATTAAATCTAATTTTATAACTTGTTAATTAGACTTTTTTTAAAACTGACAGACAGCATCTAAATAACTTCTTTAAATATTGAATGCATGTCAACAATGTCAAACTTTTCATTATGTCTTTTAGTTTTAGATAGTATTTTAGATTTTTTTTTTTTTGTAAAAACACTATTTAATACCCAAGACAAAAGGAAACGTTGTGAAAAGACATTTAATATAAAAACAAAATTCTTTCTTGAAATGGTATCTGGTATCTAAAAATGGTCTAAATAAGTAGTCATTAAAATAACAGGTGGCTTTAAGGCCCTGAAATGTCATTAGTTACTTCAATCATCTATGTAAGTAGGTATTTCAAAAGTGCAATCAATTCTGTTTGTCATATTTATGGGAATACAGATAATATCATATATAAATAAACGTTAAATTCATTACCCTCATTTTTAGTTCATTACCGTCACCTTCATAGCTGAAGGAAATTGATGGTAATGAAAGTGAGGGTAATGAATTTTTAAAACTGTTTTTGATCTTGTTCGGTAATTAATAGATTTAAATAGTTAATAATAATAAGAAATATGAATATACAAATAACAAATGCTTCCAGACCAAAAGCATAAAAAAACTATAACTACTTACATGAACAATCTCCTGTAGGTAATGAAATCAAAACTGGTTGAAGCACGTACTTGCCGATCTTTTTTAGCAGTAGCGTCAAAATTTACACACGTCCTGTCCCGTTCGTTATTGCTGACCGACTGGCTGGCAAGTGAACGGCGGGAGAGAGATGCGCCATCCAGGTAAGATGCATTATTATACAGTATGATTTTGATATTTCAAACCAGGCTGAAGGTAATGGAATATTTTTTCGGACAAATTGTATTTATCATAGTGTGTTTAAATATTAACATTATTACAACGTGTGCTTCATTGTTTAAATTCCTTATTCTATACTTGAGGTACTTCAAGTAATAAGAAGCAACAAAAACTTCGATGTATAATTAATAAAAAATGTTTTTCCTAACTCGTCACAAAAAAGACGCTGAAGGTAATGAAATTTAAGCAACTAAAATATTATTTTCAGTTAGTAATTCGACACGATCAACTTTAATTCTATGTGGCAGAAATAGATAAACAACCTCTTTATAGATTAAATATATTTTTAGGCTTTTAGAGTGATAAGATTTGCCAAAAAATTCACGGACATGCGATTTGCACGAAATCATATAAATACCCTATTGAGCTCGTCTTAAGCTTTATTAATAATAATTAATAAGAACAAGTATTGAATAAGATAAACTGTCGCTCTCGGAGGGCGTCTTTGATTCTTGGTCGGTTCAATGTAGAAAATAATTATCGTTGCATAGTAATATCGCTGTTTCAGGTTTTAATAACAAAGGAAGTTGATATCAAAAAAAAAAAATACGTCGATTTATCATTTCTAAGTGTGAGTTATAAAAAGTCATAATTTACAAACTTGGCAAATGTTTCTTAATGCAAAAGTAACGGTATTTTGTGAATTTATTATTCACGTTTATACATGAGAATGTCTAAAAAAGGAATTTTAAATTATATTTGAAGAGTTGAGATGTAGGCGTGTGTTCTTAATGAAAAAAAGCTTAAAAATCCACTTTGCACAGTCACGCGAAAACAGCTAATAGTCTTACACTCATATCTATAGTCGAGATAAGTAATTACTTAAGCAAGAATTTAAATTAGTAGAACTCCCAAAAGTTCATTTGCGTGGAAAGTAGCCTAAGTTACTCCTTATTATCCAGATGCCAGTGAAAGTCTCATCAAAATTGGTCCAGCCGTTTAAGAGATTGGCCGGAACAAACATAATATGTAAAAAATAATATTTTGGTATATGTACCGTGTATATGTCACATCCAAGTGGTACCATCAGCCGACCAATTGTGACTAGCCCTTTAATGAATGGCGCCAATCAATTCAATTAAAGGGCTAGCCACCTAATTGGTCGGCTGATCATACCACTTGGCTGTGACATATATATACATATACATTTTGGTAAAAAGCGGTTAATTAAGCGTTACAAACAGACACTCCAATTTTATTAATTTATACAAATATATAAAAGCTTTATATATTATACAAATATATAAAAGCTTTATAAATATAAGAGTTAAAATTAGTTAGTTAATTATGATTCTTTTTAAGTCTATTTTTGTCATGACTATCCTTTCCTTTTCTTATATTAAAGCTTTAGAATTCTTTTTTATTTTTCTAAAAGTATATTTCGTGTTTCTTGCTTTCGTCGTTTTCTTTGCAGTCCTCATTACATGCATTCCATAAAATGAAAAATGTTCTAGGATTATGTTATACTGTGATGTTATAGCTAATACAAGCTATTGATTACCTGTTTTTCATATCTCAGCAACTTCCGTCGGCTCACTTTTGCGTAAATATGTAATGAACATCCAAACATAGATAAATTCCATTTTATATTAACTCGTTCACGCATAATCAGCCCGACGCGGTACTAAATCAATGCTGCATGAGCACAGGAAAAATAGCTCTGTCACGCCAATGAGGAACCTGTTTCCTAGGCATTTATACTATTATGACAGAAACAAACTTAGTTTTCCACTTGTGACTAACAATGTAGAAATATAGCAATTTAATAATACGTTGGGCCTTTTTCGACCTCCGCCTCATAGATCATAAAAAAATATCCAAGTGCGGGGGCCGGCATGTTTTGATGGACGACTACTATCGCAACTTGTTTCCGCACTGTGCATATGCGTAGTAATTAGTCCTTAATAATAACCCTTAACTATGCTGGTGCATGTTACTTACATGACACTGAGAAGTTATTAAACAAACTCGAATGTCTTAAAAATTTAGAGATTAGATTTATTTATGGTCTTCGTAAGTATGAACGTGTCATATTTCTTCACTATTCATGCTGCTAGACTTTGGGACTCTCTACCTGCTGATATAGTATGTGACAGTCGCACTATTTCTTCAAAAAAGTACATTAGTGCGATATCGGGTCTTATCGACCTTACATTTTTAATTGCTAATTATTAATTTTCTGTTTGGGGGATTCAGAGTCAGGTGCAAGTGACATATAAGAGTTAAAAAAGTTCGAAGATTTGTAAATACGCCTTGATTAAGATAATAGCACTTTAATACCATCCAGAGGTATCAGGTCGATAGGGCCTGCCACGCACAATAATAAAGTCAATATGCATATTTGGACTGCCACCGTACCAGCTGAAAATCGACGTGTTAACTAACGTTTATATAAATGTCCTCCTTAACCATCCATAAGGAAGGTCTAAGCCCCAGCAGTGGGAACGTAAAAGGGCTGATGCTATAATGGTGATGATTAATGAACGACTGTCTTAAAATTTATTATAAGTATATAATTTTATTTGTTTCATATACGGAATGCGTATATTTTGATGTTGACAATGAATGACACTACTGTAATACTCGTATAATTGGGGGAGAAATTCATAGAAACGGCTTGATAATGTTCTACATGTTTTATTTACTACCCACAAAGATTTTTTTAAGACCTTCTGAAGTAAAGATGCTGTGTACTTGTATATATTTCTACTTACACTGATTAAGTAAGGAATAAATTCAAAAGTTAACGATTGCACAGAAAACTTCAGTGCTCAATATAGAATTGAGATTCGTCAAGTCGAATGTTAGAATGAAAACATTTATGTTTGTCAACAGTATTGTGTTGGAACTGGGATCTTACCTTATTCAAGAAAAAGACAACTTCATCTAATGGTAAGTTAATGTTTCAGTTTACTGGTAAATATACGTGGAATATCTCCAAAGTTCTAGGAATTGTTTTCAAGCCTAATAATTCAGGGTTAATATCAATGTTTTCGCTTTTAGATAAATCTTGATAGGTATACGATTATATAGTATAATTTATAGTGATGTTATCATTCCAAAAACTAGACTAAATTTGGTTTTATCAAACGGCATTTTCAAGTCTATGGTTTAGTAACAAAGTCAGAAGGTCAGATTGATGCAAGATGGCAATGGCAATGACTTTACTGAGCGTGATGAACTCGTTTTGTGGGTGGAGATGAGGTAATATTAAACGTATACAATATATATACAGTACAGAAAAAAGTTTGTATTGTTTTTTTTTAAATATGTGCAATTTAACAGATCGCATTTTTTTAATCTGTTATGGTTGTGGAGTAAAATAGTAAAATACTTATTTTAGAAGTTGGTCATAGATAAACTAATGTTTGTATGTTAAAAAAAAATTATACAGTTCTATATTATGTTTTTATTTATACTTAAAAAAGTTGTATCTAATGACAGGTAAACGGTAAATGGTTTAAGCATAGATAATTTTTCTTTTATTAGATTAAAAATATTCGCTTCATAGTTTTATTATAGGTAGAAAAAAAAAACGAGTCGAAAGAACAATCATTGACCAGTGAATGTTGTAGCTGTTAAAACATTACTAATGACTACATACGTCCAAATGATAGAGCCACAAGTTCAGTGAACCAAGAGGAGCCGGGCTGAAATTATATGCCAACATGTAGCGCGTATATAAACCGGCGAATTAAAGTATGCGGCCTCATTTCTCCTCCATTACTCTTTAAGAAATTAAAAAATATATAAGTTTTATCAATATGAACACAAAGGGGTCTGTTTTTATATTAGTTTTGGTACTTACCGCAGCGCAGGCTATACCACTAGTTTTAAAAGGTCTGTATGAACTTTAAGCTATTGAACTTTGACAGTAAAATACCGTTTTTGTTATGAATAGGTTGTTATTAAATTTTGTAATCATTTTCAGAGTCATCGCCGTCTGGTGAAGCTATTGTTGCCATATCATCGTCTGATCCCGATGTCAACAAGTATATTAATATAGCGTATCCAAACCATGTAATGCATGAATCTCAGAGTCAAGAGAACCCAGTTATTGGTAGGAGTTTCTCCATCGTCACACCAGGGGGAGCCGCTGCTGGTACAGGCAGAGGTTTCGTTTCTACGTCAGCTTTAAACCCATATTTAATGCCTCTTTTCTTAGGCCCTATCAATTTTGAAGGTATTGGACTTAGTAATTTTGGAGCATTAAATGATTGGGTTAAAGGAATCGATGGTATTTATGATTCTGGCTTTGGTGGCAATGGGGAAATTCGAACAGCTTCGGCCATCAACGACAACGGTCACGTATATGGTAATGTTAAAACAATTACATTTGATAACAGAGCCAAAAATAAGAATTAGATTTTATTAAATAGAATTATGTGCTAGATTTTTTGTTCGATGAAATGTTTTAATTTGAAAGGATTTGTGAATAGTTGCAATAAAATCATATATATTGAAAATTACAGTTTTTTATTGTTCTGTTTCCTCTTAAATTAAATCACATAAGTTAATAATAATAAGTGACATCGTAATTTGTGATTCGTTATCGAAGACAATGTGACAAGTGAAGGTCAGTCGTCTCAACGTCTTCTTTGATGGAATATCATGTCTACAAACACTATTTTAGATATTGTGCAGATATCCACTTCCACGGAAAACACACAAACAAACCATCTCGACATGATTTTCCTATAGACATGAAGGTAATTGATTACGTTATAACGTCACTATCTGCCAGGACCGATATTTGCTCAGGTGAACTTTAAAATCGAAAATTTAATAGTATCCGGTGTTGACTGCGTGAGATTGAGCAGCTTGAATACCAGGACCATTGATGCTGCTAGCACCGCTGTGTTGGAGAGCTGCGCCACGCTGCTGTACAGTTTGCGCTGTGCTAGCGCGGTAACCGCCAACGTTCTGAGCGGACGACACAGCAGATCCGAAATTACCCAACCCATTGCGAGACTGCGCAGAGGAAATGGCCGAGTTGTAGTTGCCACCGTTATGAGCTGCAGACACCGCGGATCCATATTCCAAGCCGTTGTTGCTGTTCGCAGCGGCGGCTGCAGATTCGTAGCCGTTCACATTTTGAGCGGAGGACACGGCCGACTGGTAACGGGCGGGCCCATTGTTTTGTACTGCGGATACTGCTGATCCGTACTGGAGTCCGTTATGGGTTTGAGCTGACGAGACCGCGGATCCGAAGTTGCCGAAGTTTTGGGCAGACGAGACAGCGGAGCCGTAGTTGCTTCGGTAGGGTTGGTACGGGATAGGATGTATGGGTGCAGCATTAGCTACACCGACGCCGCGGGCGTAACCACCGTTGCCAGCTTCACCAGAACCATACGCTTCAGCGTCACCGCTGGAGAAGGAGGACCCGATGCCGGTAGAGTGTGCGATACCACCGATGTTACTGCTGAATCCACTACCAAAACCGAACGCTACGTTCGGGGAACGGCCGATCCTGAATACAGGAAAATAGCCGTTTGTGCCTGTAACAAATAAATTGTATATTAGGAAAACCGTAACAAACTGGATGCTGTCTGTGATGTTTACATTAAATTACAGTAATTTATATAGGGATTTTCAAGATAATAAGATCTTAATGTAATGTTATGATAATAGTTATCGAAAAATAAACGATTTAAAACCTATATATAGAAAACTTCTTGGTTAACTGTTCTGTTACTTGATGAACTTACCCGTGAACAATATAGGTACGGCTTGAGCGGCCGCCACCAACGCAACGAAGACAAGAACCTTAGCGGCCATTTCTAATGCAACTGATTAAACTATTTGAAGACAGGATGCTACACCTTTCGCCGGTGGATATGGATATCATTGAATCATTTCTCCGAGCTTTTATACTACAGGCTACACTCCCCCCACTCTGTTAGACTGGGTCACTATTGTACCTACATTAAATGAAAAGCCATCGGCATTAATAAATAAAATTTTATCACAAGTTACGGTACTATAATTTGATGTGTGCGAAATGATCTGATACCATAAATTCGTTGAGTTCCACTTAATTAACAGCACGATTCATGTTACATCCAAAAGCGGGCTATAAATACTGTAATTCTAAAAAGTAGTAGAAGTCAAAATGATATCCATATATTGTGAGTTAATGAAATAAAAAAAATTATAAAGGTGTTTATATAAACTTGCAAAAAAAGAAGTCGTGTATTTCCCACTTTTATAAAATGTGAACAAGGAAGGACATTTGTTTTTATTATATATTTAAATATAAATTATTTTTACAGGTACTAACATTATAAAGAGGAAAGAAAGGAAAGATTTCATTGTTTGTTTGCGTCTTTTCAATGACTCCAAAACTACAGGACAGATTTTAAAAATTCTAACATATACGAGAAGCTGCGTCATATGCGGATGACATAGGTTATAATATACGTGGGCGAAATCGCAAGAGGAAGGCCTGAGCCTCTGCTGCGTGAATGTAAAAGAGCTAATGATGATGAAGTACTTAAGCTACTTAATTTGGAAAACGAATGAGAATGTGATGCTGTATAAGAAATTAGAATAGAATAGAAAAGTATTTATTTAGTACCAAATAAAAAGTACATAACATTAATTGTATGATAATAGATAATTCAAAATTAGGTACTAAAGAGGCCTCTGCTCAGCAAAATGGCGCAGTGTTTAAGCTACGGCGTGGATTTTCAGCGGATACCTTATATTTATTTAATAAATTATATCTTACAAATAAAGTTAATGTCCTCTTAGCGTAAACTAACTCTATTATAAAAACATCTACTTTTATTATGGCGTAGGACATATTTAAATAAATAAATATATAACAACATCACATACATTGCTCAGATTCCAAGATGAGTACCTAAAGCCCCCGTATGGAGTATCTGAGACAACGAAGGTACCACAGCACCCAGACCCGAGACAATATAGAAAAGTTTATTTTCTACATTGACCCGACCGGGAATCGAACCCGGGACCTCAGAGATGGCGCACCTTGAAACCGGCGTGCGAACCACTCAGCTACGGAGGTCGTCATATTTATTAAAAAACAAATATTCCCGGGTAAATTTATCAGCAAACGGGGTATAATGTTATAATATTTGAGCCATAAGTCTAGCGATATTATCATTTTAACAATTAATTCAGTAAATAAAACACATTTCTATCGGAAACTTGCGTGTAAGTCTTGCAATTTATAAATAAATAAAAATGTCTTACACAAAAGACCTAATATTGACAACTTTTAAGGAAAGTCATCTGAGGATTCCTAAATATATTAATAATATAAAGGATTTTTAAATCAAATATGCATATAAATTTAAATAGAAGCAATATCCAAAAGCTATAATAGCGGCACTACTTCGTTTCTTTTTTACAACAAATTAAATATTTTGATTGCATATAAAATGCAAATAGTTTAAAAATGATTTTTTTTTCAGATTAATAAATGCGAATCATTTTAAAATAGTAGTTTATTTACAAAAAGTAATAAATAAAGCTTTTTAATGAATAAAATTACAAATATCACTATTATTGTCATTACTGTATTGCAATAAAAAACGAATTGTTCTATTTTCTTCCTAGGGCCAATGCTCCGGACACTGATAAGTTCTGGTCTTTATCATTATTTCCAGGTCCTTGGTTATTGTCGTTATTGCTTCCAGGTGGACTGTTGTCATTTTGCTCCTCTTTATCAGGGTTCTCATCATTGAAAGGTCCGCCAGGTCGGAACCCGAAACCACCTCCTGGAGGTCCACCAGCACCCGGGGCGAAGTAGTTGCCAGTGAACTGTCCTGGCCCATTGCCAAAGTAACCAGGCCTATAACCTCCCTGATTCGGATAGCCACCGTAATTCCCTTGACCTGGATAACCACCGAAATATCCGTTATTTGGGTACCCTCCGTTAAACTGATTATTATTCGGGTTATAACCGCCTTCAGCCCCGTTTGCAGACGTTTGCGACTGGCTAATAGCGATGTTAATCGGTGGGTATTGCCCAGGGTAGCCCCCTTGGTAGCCCCCGTAGCCCCCTTGGAAGCCCCCGTAGCCCCCTTGAAATCCTCCCTGGCATATGCCAAACCTCTTGCATAATTTATTTTTTAAGTGGCGTCTTTCACGCGTGATGCCGTTTACCGCTTCACTTTCCACTATCAGCTCTGAAATCAAATAAAAAAAACAACAAAGGGTTTTATTAGGTCAATTGTCTAACGGTGCGAACGTCGAAGTAATCGAGTACTTTGCGGATCGTGAGAGCACAAGTGGATTACAGACTAACAATATTAGATTACAACCTTCGCCGTCAGCCGCGCTGCATCCCATAGAAGCGATCGCAAAAAAGAACAGAAATAACCGGAATCTGTTCATGTTGACCGATAATTCCGTTACTGGGTGTGTTGATATTTTTTGCTGACAAATTCGTTTTATAGGTCGCCACGAGGCCGCCCCCACTAGGCGAGACATTGAGCTTACATTATTCAGAAAAGATCCCACGGAAGTTTGTCTATAATCGTAAATGTGTAAACAATAACTTAAAGTGGAATAATTCGGAAATAAATAGCAGTTTCTCGATATAGAGACTGATTTTGCTCTGCCTGAACTGTACCTATATTGAAATGATGTTATGAAATAATTATAGGCACAAAAGCTTTTAAAACAACAATTATTTCATTTTTTATTTCCATCCAATGCAAGGTTGCCTGTAAGAAATCGCTGGCTAGCGATAAGGCCGCCTTTTGTACCTTTCTATGTAAAAATATATGATTGTCTATATAATTTTAATATGGTTTGTGCAATAAAGAGTATTTAGTTACAATTTTAAAGAATTGTTACCCTATACAAAGTGGAACAGTTAATATTTTCCATCCTCAAACTGGGATCGTACTCATGCGCTGAAGTTTAATTACAATGTGTGTGATATTGTAAAATCATTATAGCTCTATGCAATATCTATTATAATAAATCATTATAAGTCATTATAAAAAACAATGTATAATTATTGCTATAAAGGTAATGCAAATTTGGATTAACATAACTTTAGGATTTCACTCAATTCAATTAATAACTTTCCTTATCATATAAAAATAACGATTTCACTTCTCTTGCTCAAAAAGTCCGTCATTAAAGTTTAAAAAAGGTAAGCCAAAATAATATTTCCTTCACCTAGGGAAAATGTTTTAATTTTTTTTTTTTATTTTGTGTCTGTTTTCAAACTCACATAAATACCTTTATTAAAAATAAAATACTCATTAGACTAAAGAAAGACTCGACTTATTAGTATTTAAAAAACAATCTGTGTTTGCCTTTTTGTACCTAAAAGCAGCGGTCTCGACGATTTAGCAGAATGTGTGTATTATTACTTTGTGGTTAATGGTAGGACCCCGCCATAAAAGAGAAAAAATATTGACTCGGAAATTATGAGAATTTAATATTAAAAAATTTTTACAATCGAGGTGTAAAGTTGAGAACAAACCCATTATACTTAATTTGGTTTTTATGTACTATTTCCCTAAAGCTCTGGCATAAAACTGTTTGTATAAACTACATATAAAAATAAATAAACAACTATACAATCGAACCCGGATAGAGGAACTGGGTTAGCGAGAAACTATATGAGAACCCGACGTTTTAACTCTCCAAAACCTCTATAAGTAAGAAACAAAAACTTCTATAAGTTTCTAGTGAACCTCTATAACCAACACTGGCACTTACCTCTGCCTCTTTAAACAACAGAGGTAAAGGAAAGTGCCAGTACAAACATATGCTATAATATTTGCTTAAGTTATTACTTTTACTCGACGATAGATATGGGTGGAAGTGTAGAAAAACAAATTTGACTTGATTTATCAAGTCAAATTAAGTAACTATGGTTAATAATTGAAAATTCAGAAATTTAATCAAAAGCTTGCTAGGAAGCTTTAAAGACAGCACAATATAAGTGAGAGAGCCACTTCATACCACTATAAGCTAGAAAATGTGGTTGCTGAGAATCTGCTATAATCGGAAAAAAATCGTTCCTTCATGAACTCTTCAAGGCCATTATTTAAATGCGACTATATACCTTGCATATAAGTATGTAAATGCTATACAATGGGTCGTTATGACCCCTTGTATAAAAATTAACTGTTTTATTAGAAACTAACATTATGAGCGGTTTCAGTCGCGTAGTACCCAAGTAGAAGGTAAACGATTCCTTGAAATCAAAATTCATTGAAATTATTTATTTTTAAATACCAGTGTTCGGCGATTATTAAAATTCATTCACATAGATATATGCAAAGTTTTATACCAGGATAGATTCAATTGTCTTAGTCGTACAAGATAAGTATTTATAGTCTATATTGTGAACTAGATCTCAAATACCAAGGACTCGCTTAAAACAATCGTAAATAATATTATCGCGTTCGTCATCAACAGCGGAAACGCGAAATTTTATTTCCTGTTTCCTTGAATTTGAATGTTTTGCATAATTATATAAAATTTTACCTATATTAGTAAACAAGGCCCTGCGTGGGCGTTAGACGATTAAAAGGTTATTTCTTCATATGAATTCATTTTGTTCAGTTGATACTTTATATATGGTTAATTAAAATCTTTGCAACTCACATATGGGAAATATTATAAACATATAATAAAATTAATTTGTTTTGATTGATGAATTTAGACAAATAAACAGTAACGCAAAGAAATACGGTCGAGTAAGAGTCTGGCTTGCGGACGAAATGCTCCGTACCATTATCTAAAAAATCACGTTTTTATATGGCAGATCCCCTTACGTATATTTATATATTTTATACATAGTATTTTTATTTATTCATTCGATATTTCCAACATTTAATACATTAACAACATTTAATATGATGAAAACTTAATTTAAGCACACAAGAACAAAATATATATCGAACAATTATATATGTATAGATGTTTATTTTCTTCTGTTCTTACAGCCAGTTGCATAAACGTCAATTAAAATTTTCTTTAGTTTAAAGTGACATTACCCATACAATTTTGACATTCAATAGAGCTTAAAGCCGTCATTAAACCTTAATGGACGTTTGTGCAACTGAACGTTAGTATTTTTTGTTACAACGGCAACGGAAATAAACATTCCCCCACATTACTTTTCATTATTTATTCTCCTCCATAGATTACCTGGAAGATATGCAGTAATAAATTGCTATGTATAATACTGTTTTTCTTATGCTCTGTAATTTGTTATTTGTCGTGTGTGTACAATAAAGTATATTATTATAATGAAAAATTATTAAAAAATCCACCCGCGTTCGGTCTGAGATACAGTTGCCGAGCAACTTTCGCAATGAGCGGTCATAGGATGGTGATCTAATGATAGTAGCTCGGTGGCGTAGTGGATAAGCGCCGCGGCCCAAGATCGTTGTCGTTAAGCAACTTTCGCAAGGGTCGGTCACGGGATGGGTGACCATAAAAATTATTATCTCGAGCTACTCTGTGCTTCGGAAGGCACGTTAAGCCGTTGGTCCCGGCTGGATTTTCAGTCGTTAATACCCTCCAATCCGCATTGGGCCAGCGTGGAGGGTCGTGGCCCATCCTCCTTAACCATCGATAAGGAAGGCCTGAGCCCCTGCAGTGGGGACGTAAAAGGGTTGATGAGGATGGTGATCTAAAGTTTATTATCTCGACTTTCTGAAAGGCACGTTAAGCCGTTGGTCCTGACTGCATCTGAAGTTGTTAATACCAATCATGGTCCATACCAGTCATGGCCCATTCTACCTATTCAATTCGATTTGATCCTATCCATAGGGAAATCCTGAACCCCAGCAGTGGGGATTTTAATAAGCTGGTTATTTATGTCCTATATAAATAGATAAAAAATATATTCCATAATAATAAAAAATAAATAGAGTTACATATACCATAACAATATAAGATAATTGGCACATAAATATTTATAGATAAATTAATTCCAATTTCGCATAACAGATGTGGCACTGCCATTTTAAATCGTAATATGATTATATTCTTGAGGATTTATATATACATTTGTGATTTACAACATAAGGTTTTTTTTTTGAGTTTTACCATAATATAAATGGTATAACGATAAAGATTATTTTAATTAATTCATCAAACCATTAGTGCCAGCGAATTCTCTTGTACCATTCTTTTAATTAAATCACAGATGCATATAAACTAGAATTTATAATTTTGATTGCTTTTGTTTAACGTTATTCCATGGTCACATAAAAAAATCAAAGAAATTGAAATACTCGTATACTCCTGTTTATGATAAAGAGAGAGGATTTGATTGTTTGTTTGTTGGCTAAATTCTTTCATCTACGAGAACACTAACCGTGTCGTGGGCGTGGCGAAGTCGCGGGAAACAACTAGTAGACACAGGTATATTAAAACAATAAGTATTCCTCTGCAATCTTAGTTGATTACAGAATTGAAATATCAGTTCGATAGAATTAAAAACTTTATTTGGTCCAGTTTTTTGTGCAGACGATGTATGGAGGCAGAAGAACAGCCGCTCAGGTCCTGCTGGAGTGTAACGGAGTGGTCAAAGTATCTCGACTCGCCGGGTAACCTCCTGGAGGCCATCACAGATGCGAATGCGCTGGGAGCGTTTCTGACAGAGCTGGGATGGCTGGGACAACCTCTGGATATACAAACTCCGTACTTAAAATAGGCGCAATTTTGCGCATCGATTTGCAGAGACGCCTGTCGATAGAAGAAGTCTAGTTTCACTTACAGAATTTCTAGCGGAAATAAGTTAATTAATTTTGTCATTTAGAGGAAATTTTCAACTTTGAAAAAGCAAATGTTAACTAGTGTGGTAAAAGTAATGGATACCTTTTAATGTGCCGCAATATATTACTTTTTATGGTAATAGCCTTGAATGCCGTGAACTTGAGTCAGAACTCGTTAAGAGTGCGCATAACACCGTCGCATGGCGCATAAACAACACAAAAAATATGTTTCATTCATATCTAAAAAACATTATGATCATTGCAAAATCCCAAATTTTTGTCAATTTTCAAAATAGATCAGAATTACGGATTTAAGAGATACCTTGTAATGTTTTTATGTCGAAAAAACTAATTAAGTTTAGAAATACTGTTGTATTTATATTATCATTAATTTATACTTATTTATTTAGTTTCTAATTAATTGAAAATTGTATTTATTATTGTTATAATACGTACTAATTTGGTAATGACATGATTTATGTAAATGTCATTACTTATGATAAAGAGCTGGTAAGTTTCTTTCGCTTGTTCTTCTTGTCAGCTCGTCCTGAACGAGTGGTAGGTGAAATACATTTTTTTTGACGATTCAAAAGTGCTTGTATCAAGCTTACTTGAATGAAGACATTTTCGTTTGATATTTGCGTAGATAGAATAGAATTGTATTATGCGCCCTCTTAAATATAATCACATTATACGATCGTAGCCCAGTCGCGGCCAGACGCTAGACACTATTATTAAATAGCCAATAAACCGGCCTCAAGATTTATTGACGATCAATTTTATGTTCATGCCCTCTTAATTTATAAGACCTTAGTGAAATGCATAAAATGGATTTTGCTTTTTTATACTATACGAGTTCGGTAACTTTCGCCCTAAAAACTATCCTGTGCCCTTTCGTAAGTCGAAATCTGTCTGTCTGTCTTGCTAATTTCATCGATTTGTTCGCCCGTAGCTTCACTCGCGTGATTCTATTAACTTTTAATACATTAACAACATTTAATATGATAAAAACTATCCTTTGTCCTTTCTTATGGTTCAAATTATCTAGCAAAGCTCATTACTTTACATAACAAACGCAACAAGCAAAGGGCACGTAAAGCGCACGCGCACATAAAGCACTAAACGTAATGAGTTACTTTCGCATTTATGTCAGTATGGAGTTACAATTTGAAACACTAATGAAAAAAATAATACAAACCATTAACTTTAATTTAAATGACAAGTCCATGCAAATTTCTTTGAAACAAAGGAAAGTGTGATTTATTGTATTTTTTACATATGTTTTATAACATATTTAGTATTTCTAGTGATTTTATAATATTACTATTTGAGTAATCCTTTTTAATTTGTAGAACTTAATTTAATCAATCGCAATGTTTAAAATAATTGTACTAAGTTATTGATGGATGAGCTTTTTTATATTAGTTGCTTATTTTTCTAGTGGAACAATACTAATAAGTTGCATGCGTTAAAGTATGGCGGTTAGATACGTAATCTTCAAACACACATTAGTGTAATAAGAGGATTATCATCATAATATTATTTAATTACTAGCTGTTTTCCCGCGACTTCTCACGTGTGAATTATGGCCTAACTCAACCCTGTACAATGTAACTACCAGTACGTGAAAGAATTTTTTATATCGGTCCAGAAGTTTCGGGGCCTACTCGATGCAAACAAACAATCCATCAAATTTTTCCCCTTTATAACATTAGTATAGAATATGCTACAATGCTATACTTAAAAATATTAGACTGACATGGAAAATACTATTTAATACACTGTGTCTTTAATTCACTATCCCTATTTGTGCAGCGAGTCTGGTATTTATGATACGAGACCTGATTCCATGGATAACTAAACTAATTACATTCCAAAAGTAAAGGATTTAATATCTTAATAGGAACTTTATTAGAATAAGCAAGTTACTGGGAAAATTATATTTCTTACAGTGAGATTTAGTTTATTATATCCTACTTTTTAGTAGTGAAACTAACAAGTAAGTAGGTATATATATATAAAGCTGTTACAGACGATTTCATAGAGACCCAGCCAAAAGTACCTACGTTTTAATTTAAGCACGGTCTTTTTTTTCGGGAATAGAAAAATATCTACAATAATTCTATTTATATGGGGTATTAGATTCATAACTTATTTTCAATTAAATCGTGTTTTTTGAGAGATCCGTCAGACTCTTTCCATTACGTTTTCGTAATAAAGAAACCAAAAAGAGTCAAGGGTATTATTTAATATTGACTAAAAAACTAGATGAATAATACTTATCTTTTAAAGGCTATTCAGATATAATTCTAATTACCTACACAGACTATTTATGTGAGTATATAAGAAGTTATACTATATTTATCTATAGAATAAAAAGTATCTTAAAATCGTCCATAAACCACGAAAGTTGTAGGCGGATATGGGCTTTCTAAGTTATATATAAAAATTTAAACTGACGTATTGAAAATCCAGGTTGTTTTCAAGATAAAAAAGCTACTTATTGTCTATCAAAATAAAAGGGTTTTTTTTATAAGTATGATAACAGTTATGGAACATTACGAACTTTTTTATACAGTGATCATAATGAGCTATTGTTAACAACTACGTGTTCGTGCTTACTCAATAAGTACATACAGCAGCACATCAGGTTATCAAATAGTATCAAATTATGCAAGCTACTTTGAAAATTTATTTATTCTTTATTATATGAAAAAAAACTTCAAAAATAGAACCGTCTTCAAACTTAAAAAAAGTAAAAAATAATACTTATCTCAAAAGCACTCAAAAACGACTTATTCAAGAATTATTTCTATTTCATTCTTTTAAGTGATATTTATATTTTTTATACAATAGATAACACTTTAAATACTCTTTTGAAACCCTCGTAAAAATCGGTTCAGCCAAACGCGAGATAATCGCGGATAACACATACAACACGTGTTAAAGCGCAAGCCACCATTTTTTAGTCTATTAATATATGTACCTAAAACCTTATCCTAAGTCTGACAAATACTATGTTGAAAACTGCATTAAAACGGTTCAGCCAAACGCCAGATAATAGCGCACAAACATATTTATATGTATACATACAGGTCAAACTGATAATCTAACTTTTTTTGAAGACGGTTAAAAACTTTGGCTCAGCGATGGGTTGGTTCGCATAGGACCGGTGACTAAAAATATATAGTCTCGAGCCATTTTATGCTTCGGAAGGTACGTTACGCCGTTGGTCCTAGCTGCAACCGCAGTCGTTAGTACCCAATAAGCACTACACCCGCTTACATATCTCACCCGTTCTCCCTATATGACTCCATCCATAGGGAAGGCCTGAGCCCCAGCATTAATAGGCTGGTGATGTCGAATAATCCTAGCCGTTCTTCTTTTATACGCGCAATTCGCATCTGTCTTGACTTATCTCGTTGCCAAATGTAATGAGATATGTAGGTTACTCTAGTGAGTCTTCTGTCTTTGCGCTCAGTCTTATTTCTTACGGCACCCTCTGTCATTCAACCTGAGAGCATATTAGGAATTTGATTGGAAATTATTAATGCTATTAATACAATTAAAGAACTGTGATAGCTTCGTATGATCTGTAGCGTCGATTGTACCTACACTCGCTGACCAAGGATATAAATGAATTCTCACAAAAGACCAAAGTAACGGAGTGCGATGCCGGCAACGATAGGCTCCTCACTTCAAACCGATCCGTTTTAAATGTCGTATACAGTTATTTTGATATTGTGTATTGTTTAATTGATAAAATAACACCTATTGAATTATAATAACGGCAAAGATAATTGCAGAATTACTTTTTAACTGTAATGTAATGTAATTTAATGTGGTACTTACCTTAATTACTGAACGTTTAAGAAAGCTAGTCATACGCTGAGATAGGTAAGGCAAGTTTTTGATGCTTCTGTCAAAGTCAAAATAATCTTTATTCAAATAGACTTCTTAAAAGTACTTATGAATCGTTCAACATTTTTTATCTACCACTCGCTCAGGACGTCTTTTGGCTGATAAGAAAAACGAGCAAGAAACTCATCGCTCTAATAAGAGTAATGACATTTACAAAAACCATGTCATAACCAGATCAATACATTATAAATAGAGAGAAAAAATAACTATGGTCTTATAATGTTAACATAATCATTTAATAATAATGGAAACAAGATAATTTTAGATATATAATGAGTAAAGAAGTAATCACCTATCCAGTTGCTGGATCACCTTAAGTCCAAGCATTCTTATCCTATCCTATTAATATTATAAATGTGAAAGTTTCTTTGTTTGGATGTTTGTCAGTCAATCACGCCGAAACTAATGAACGGATGTTGATAAAATTTGGTATACAGGGTATTTTGGTATATTTGGTATACAGCTGACTTAGGTAATAGGATCCCACTTTTTATCCCACTAAACATTTCCCTAGGGACAATGCTGGCGAAAGTTAGTTTGTTATATAATCGGATTGTTTTTAAAGTAGATTTAAACTGCATGATATCTAATTGTTGTATTTCGCTTGGGACCTTATTGTTTTGAAGATTCAATATTTATAGATCGATCATATTGATCGTTTATTGATGGTTATTAGTTTGTCCACCACAGAAAAATGAGCTCACACAAACGCCTTGCACTCCGCATGCGGGCCCTGTCTACCAATGCAAATGTGCCATAAAGAAAAATCAACAGTCAACAGCATATAAACAAAGACTATAGTCATTTAAAACCTCTGCGAAAATCAATCAGCGCCAGTTCTAATAACAAATGCTGAACTTAGCTGGTACCCTTTTGATGGAAGCATTCTTTCACCTATGGGTAGGCATCATACACGCGTGCAAAATCGCGTGACAACAGCTAGTCGTTTATATGTCTTATGTGCCCCATGTGTGTTAAATAAATGAATTTGAATGTCTTTATGAAAATACTATTGGACATCTTTACCATTTTTTTTCATAATTTCAATATAAAATTATTAAACGAAACAAACAAAAATAAAACAACATATTTTTTATTAAATCAGAACAGTCTCATGTAGTGTAGCTAGGTACTATCAGTAGTTTTAAAAATCAAGATCATGTGTTATTGCCCTTGCCGGCAATGGCGACCGCCACAGCGGATCCGGAAACACTCTTCGCGTTACTGATTGCGGTATCATGACCCTTCTTATCACATTGATCACAAGGCTTACTATCCGGGTCAGTTATTTCTCCTTGACTGTTTTGAGGTTTAGCTAGTGGTTGCCCTTCGTTGTATGGTTGATTTACTGGATTTTGATCAAAGTTCTTTGGTTGAGGTTCGTTTTGGTAGTTTTGCCTTTCTTGGAAGTACGGACGTGGGGGCGGTGGGGGGGGCCAGAACGGTGGCGGTCCAGGGTACTGCCGAGGTTGCGAGTCGTAGAAATATGGTGGACAGTGATAGTGCGGTGAGCGTCTTAAGCGCTGAAGACTCCCTATATCTGTGGGATTCAACAATACATAATTCGTTAGTGACTTAATAACAAGATGGTGAAACTGTTTGTCAGTCTTCGAGTTTTTATATTCGTTTTTACAAAACTTGAAGATTGATAAACTTGATGATAAAAGGCGCTGCAAGCTCTACTTGTTTTATTTCTTCGTGGCCTTTTCAGGTTTTTTTATTTATTTATTTATATTATTTTTAGCTTACATTTATATCCTCACTAGATATTTTTACTAACAATCTAATTTTTATTTCTATTTTAAATAACTTATCTAATAGAATTCGTTCGTTGCCAAGTCAGATAATTCACCGAGATTGTTGTCACTTAGAATTACATTAGGCAAAGCAGGTATGAAAACTTGATGGAGGTTCATGAATACGAAATAAAAGGTTAAAATACAGATATCGAATGCCTTCTGGATCCCGCATAATGTGTTTAAAATTCTAGTGTTTACCATTGCCCGGCGAAACTGCAGATCCACTTTGAATAGGTATAATGTACGTGATTTATTTTAAGATATTAATATTGTAAAGAGTAAAAATTTGATTATTTATTTGCTCCGTAAATACTGGGCTGATTTTAAAAATTCTTTCACCTACGGGAAGCATATACGCCGAGCATAGACTATGTACTATATAGACTATATCCCGAAAAACAGCAAATAAAGGGACGAAAATGAGAGTGGAAGTTTGTATAGGGATAGGGAATTAAAACGTTACTATAGTAACTACTGTTATTAGTCAATTTGTCCTTGATTCATTGTTATGAATCGATATTTTTTTTTATGGGATAGGGGGCAGACGAGCATACGGATCACCTGATGGTAAGTGATTACCGTCGCCCATGGACACCTGCAACACCAGAGGGGAAAGAAAGGGTTGAGGGGTAGAGGGAAGGGAATAGGGAGGGGTTGGGCCTCTGGTACCCTCACTCACACGACGAAACACAACGCAAGCGTTGCTTCACGTCGGTTTTCTGTGAGGCCGTGGTATCATTCCGGTCGAGCCGGCCCATTCATGCCGAAGCGTGGCTCTCCCACGGAAAAGATATGCAAATATAAAAATGCAAGGGACCACGCGGGCGAAGCCACTAGCGGAAAGCTAGTGTATTATATTTAAAGTAATAACTTACATTCAAAATCAGCTGATGAACTAAAACCAAACACTACAGACATTACAAACAAGCTACCAAGCCACCACATTTTGTCGGTTTGATTTGAACGATAGCAGCATGTTACATTTATATATAACTTGTTTATACATTTGATAATACCTCAAAGTACGTGGAATATACTCTTATGTCACTCGTACGCTAATTATTTGACTATATTTGTTAAGAATATGCGAAAAATACATGATAATATATAATGGTCTCACTTTATAATGCAGAGCTGCGATTTTACAGGAAAATATTGTGTGTGTATGTTAGTAAGTTCGCGTCATCGATGTTAGGATATCATAATTAATATGTCATACATTGGACGGGGGTAATTTTTCGTTGAACAGGATTTCGTTTAGGAACTAGATGGAAATGTATGTAGATCGGAAAAGCCAAGTTATATTGATTGAAGTGATTAATGGTTATTATACTCTGATTTACTTAACTACACGAACAAGAATAACGTCTCGAGGCCAGGGTTACATACTCTAGTATAAGCTCATTCGTCATGACTGATCCCTTAACCCATTCCTTACTTATCCCAACATTTGGAACAGTCAATCGTCGTTATGACAATTGGAATCAACAAAAGCAGAAAAAGGCTTTATCAACTATAAGATGACTTCAAAGAATATGTACGAAATCACTCTAAATTGTTTTTAAACTCACGCGATTTTTATACATTATAATTATATGTAACCGGATCTTGTTCGTGCATTATTTTAAAACTATTTATTTACCACGCAATTGCGATCACCAAAGGATAATATTGAATTCCTTACTAAAAACCTGGCGTTTATAAAATTGATTGCAGCTATGGTAGTTCATATATCGGACATCGGACAAACGAAGCGGGCTATCGCCGAACGTGTAAGAGAACACATAGCAACGGCCAAAAATCGTCAAGTGGAGAAGTCCGCGATTGTAGAGCATTTATCATCATATGGATCAAACCACTGGATCGAGTTACATACACCTCATGTCCTTACCACTGAACGACATTATTATCCAACGATTGTTCGTGAAGCGGTTGAAATCAAGAAACACAACAATTTAATTGAATGGGAAAGTAGATATAAACTGTCACCAACGGTGAATGAATTTGACAATGAATAAATTTGACAACAACAATGAATTTGAAATGGGAAAGTGGATATAAACTGTCACCAACGTGTAATCCGGTTATAAAAATGTGTAAGTGTCGCGATCGCAAACAACCACGAACAATATTCTCGGATACCGTGAGTGCAGTGTGTCGCCACCTTTACGTATAATAAAATCAAGTGTAGGGTACATCTGAAAATCTGTTAAAAACATTATTACCGGATTACCCTCACGCCTCAACTGAAATCAGAAGACGACACCCGCCAGTTCTCCAGTCTCCTCGTGACCACGGCTGCTGTAACGTAGCCGAAACGTCGAGGTAAATAAATAGTTTTAAAGTAATGCACGAACAAGACCCATTAACATATAATTATAATCACTCTGCTTTGTTTAAAAAATGTGTCTTCGTCAAGTGTAATTATTTAAATGGATTATTATTATTATTATTTTTTATGCGATAGGGGACAGACGAGCAGACGGATCACCTGATGGTAAGTGATTACCGTCGCCCATGGACACCTGCAACACCAGAGTATACTGAAAGATATTCTTAATGAAAAAAAAAGCTTAAATAATTCCACTTTCTCCCTGGCACTCTGAGATGGGACTTGAAACCTATGATCTTTCGCAATACGGGCGACTGCTCTAATCACTGAGCTACCCAGTACCTAACAGGATTGACGAATCTTTCACGCAGATGTTACTTTTTCGCCACTAAAGAGCACATTTTTATTAATGTTCAGGCAATCCACCCTAACAGCGGAAATAAATATTTTTACAAATATTAAATTTCTATATTAAAACTAGACTGAATTTAAATATTTAAACTAGACTGAAAGAAGATAATAAAGGCCTTAGGTCGCTTCGGTTGTCTGTCGCAATACCACTAATCAAATTATGAACAAGTGGAATAATCTTTGATTTATTTATTTAAAATAGTGCTGAGTGAAGTCTATTTTATTTCTAAGCATAGCAAATGTGTTATTATTTCAAAATAAAAATTACAAGACATTGTCATCTGTCGCATAGAACGTTCGACTTTTGAACTACTGAAAACTCGAAACTAAACCATATTTACTACATGCTTCGATTCACAAAGTCTGAGTTATATGAAATGTCTTAATGGTTCTGTTTATAGTCATTATGAAATAGGGCAGATTCATGATAAATCAATATTTTTTTGGTATATTAAAAGATCTATCAAGATTTATCATCAAAATAATTATAACTATTACTTTCAATACTTGCATATATAGTTCCGATTCTGACTCATCACCGACTGTTTTGACGAAATTATTTTTTAACGCAATCTGGGTCACCAATAAGACAGTTTCTTCAGTAGACATATCTTCATATATGAGATAATTAGTATTGCAAGAAAAAAAAAATTTAACTGAGTATTAATCACAGTTTTATTATTTTTGTACTGTAAGCTATAATTAAGTGTAGTTATAATTAAGTTTCCATCCTGCTTTAATGGAAATTTCTTGATTACGTAAAATATGGACAAACAAACAAAATAATATTAATAACTCTTTATTGTAAACACCACACTAATTTAGCTTAATACATGGATATTAACAATACAGTGGAACAATTGGCGATCTTATCTGACGCCCACCTCTGCCAGACTACCATTTCACCACAAAAATTAGTCATCATCCCTCAGTATTTTTTGATTAATTGATAAATACGTCAGGGTGCCTGGAACTGTAAATTTTAAGCATTATTTCTTTAAAGTTATTAGTATTATTTTTCACGTTTTTCTTATTTTTTTTTTTGTATATCCATTTATCTGAGTGTTGTAAAAGCTTTTTATTCTTTTAAAGGAATGATTTATGCACTGTCCCCGCCGGTGTGGACCCGACCGAAGGTTAGTCAAAACGCGGATGGCATATCTACCAAACCTCCCCCGAAGCGCCCTTTTGGGCCCTCTTGGGTCGGGGCCACGTGGCATTTGGCTAGCCTTGTCACCCTTCAGTTACGCTACTGATTAATAAATAGGCTAATGATAATCATGTTTTTTTTTCAACTTTGTTGTTATTGTTTTATCCAAGTCTAGATAAAAAACTAAATTTGTACCAAGTATTTTATTTTATTAGGAAAACAAACAGTGATATTAAATCTAATACACAATATTGTAATGATTATTGTTCACCAATTACATGCTTTCACTTATAAAATATAATAAAATAATAAAAGTATATAATAAAATATTTAAAACTAGAAAACTTAAACTTTGGAAAACAGAAATTGTCCTTATTTTATAGGCTAAATAATAACCGTGTACCAAAGTCGGTGATTGTGGATCCGCTAAAAGTGAATTAGAATTTTGATAATGGATGAATCAGAAAGTTAATGACGAAATTAAGAAACTGACTTGCAATAATATTTGATCTACTTTTGGAAATATATCTAACTATGTAATGCCCTCCAGTCACAGAGAATTTAGGTTTTAAACTCTTACACTCGATGGATCATCACAATGATATTGACATGTCATATTCACTACATAGGTTTAAGAATATTTTGTATAATAATTTCAGCTCTGAACTACAGTCTTTGACATGACGGCTGTAAGTGCTAATGATACTCTGTAATTGTATCTATTCGGTCTGATATACCTTTAATTTTATTACAATTATTGTTTTCTGTTTTTTTGTTATATACCTGCTCGGTTCTCAATATCCTGAAAGCGTAAATTAGCTTCTTTACTAAACATCATCTAATGGTTATGTTTACTTTGTTTACTTGCTAAAAGTACATGTAGTAACAACCTGTAATTAAAGCAGCACTATTGCAAGTTACTGATGTAAGCTTTACTGTTATACGATTGTGGTATATGTTTTGTTTGTTGTTCTTAAATAAATAAATAAAGAAAGTGTCCAAAGTGAAAACGATATGAAAAAGCACGATGGCTTCGAGAAAAGATCGGTACTGCCGTTACTTTTGCTCGACTTGGTAGGAGAACGTACGAAATTACTCTTTTACTGTTTATAAAGCATGTTTTTAACAGTTTCTTCTTCAAACTACATAAATATCCTCTCTCTTTCCTCATTAATAACCTCCGTGTTAAGTGTCTTGCACATCGATTTGAGAAGTCGCTATCTTTCATCTAGATTCCTTCGAATTTGTGAATGAAATTTCTTTGTCTCAAGTCTGGATGTTCATTTGTTGTTTAAGATTTCAGAAATACAAGGTTTAGCTACTTAGTTTGGAATATACGTACCTAATGTGAGTTTCTATTAAGTAAAATAAATTGTTTATTATTGTAATCATCATAAAATAATATAAACACTAAATTAAAAAAGGCTATTTATTTAAATATATCGTAATAACAACAATTATATTATATGGTATCTTTTTTTCAAAAGAATTTAACCACCAATAGATACTGCCACTGCTGACCCAGTACGGCTTTTGGAGTTACTCAGGGCGTAGCTACTCTTTCCACAAGTAGAACATCCCGTATGTTGCGCAGTTTGCAGACCCTGAGAAGCCAAATTCAGAGCTCCACTCAGTGCCGACTGGGCATCAATGCTAGCAGATCCAGTTAGATCGGCTTGTAGTCCAGTGTTACTTTTTTGAACTGATTGGCCTTGACCAGAAGTCTCTGATTCATGAAAAGTTCCAACACCATATTTTCCATGACTAGAAGATCCAAATTCACTGGTTTGTAATTGCTGACCTGCATCTGAACTCCTTTGTATATTACCAGAACTCAAACTTGGACCACCATATTGCAGCTCATGTGACCTAGACTGCTGATATCCAGCGTAACCTCTTCCATTGCTATAGTTATCTGATCCACTTTGACCATACCCTCCAAATGATCCACTTTGTAAAGATGAAAATGACCCATATCCTCTTTGGTAGTCTGATATATAATGACCTCCTTGATTTTCAAAGTTGTCGCTAGCAGAATTACTACGGCTTACCTCGTAGTTACGATCCACTCTTCCATCATTTGCAGATCCTATACCAATCCCACTAACTTGGGTTTGTTGTGTGTTGAAATGGTAAGTTCCTTCAACCTTACGATTTTCATTTGAATTTTTATTAGCGTACCCCGAGTAATCTGATCTAGCAATGTTTTTATTTCCATCGTTTCCGCTCTGGTCTGCATAAGAAGTAGATCCAAATCCAGCGTCTTTATTACTAGTTTGTTGCAGTTCTTCGCCACCGTCATGTTTAAAGCCTCCATTGTGGTAGGAGGAACTAGATTCTCTGTAACTTCCTACAACCTGTCCGCCATAGGTATTAGCTCCTTTTTCCAATTGACCGCTACCACTGTTTCCCGTATGTATTCCAGTTTTAACATCAATTGATGATCTAGTAGATCCATATCCACTTGTATGCCCACCGGATAGACCAGCCCCTACGCCATTCACTGCCGATGATGCTAATGAAAAGGCTTCACCTGTTGTTTGTGCTCCTTGATCTGCAGCTGCAGCGGCACCACTGAAGATTGTATTTTGTAGACCATCAGCGCTTCTAGCTAAGCCACTCCAATTCTCAGTTCGTACCACAGGAGGTGGAGGTGGAACAATACTTTGTTGTCCACAAGTGTAACACGGGGATCGCACTAGTCTCTGATGAGTAACATCTGAAAATAATATTTTCATAAATAAAATATTTTACTAAATTTAATAAATCAATTATTCACAAGGCTATTGATATTTATCCACCAATACCAGGTATACCGTGTGGAGACATATTTTATGTTTCAGTCTTTTAAAAATATTGTAAACTTTCAATAAAGTTAACAATGACATATATCGTCGTTCATTTGTAGACGGTTTGTCGAAATTGCAATACACTCTTTATTTGTATTACACTATTGCAAAATTTATGTATTACACTATTGCAAAATTGCAATACACTATTTAGTTTTATGTGTATCTCCAAAAACAGTTTTAGTAATAATGCTGAGAATTACAAGATAATGTCAATACAGTTTTATGTGTATTTATCTACCTCCAATATTTAATACAGCGCATCGTGCAGAAGCGATTAAAGTCGCACACAACAATATTAATTTTGCCATCTCGCTGAAAATTCACAAAAGTTCTGAACAACAAATTTTCAAGTTCTACATTTATAGGTAAACTGATAGTGTTAAAAGGCGTCTTCCAATAATAGCAGCGTTTCATAATAAGTAGCTTCTAAATGATTGTATAAATACAAATAAAGTAGGGAAATTCACACAGTTTATTTGATTCCAAGTATACATTTAGTCGGCGACAAGATAGAGTAGCGATATTGATTACGTAATTGCGATCTTAAATACATGAAAAATTTGTGAGATAATCTTTTATCAAATTATTTAGTTAATATTTCAGTAGGTAGTTCAATATATATATAGATATAAATAAAAATGAACATCATCTCGTTGGATTCTCAATAAATATTTCACAATTTGTTACTCGTATACCATTATAAAGGATGCGGGAAGCGCAGGACCGATCGTTTTGGAGATCTTTGGGGGAGGCCTATGCCCAGCAGTGGGCGTCTCTCGGCTGAAGTGATGATGATGATGATGATGATACCATTATAACTGTTTTAAAATTCAGATACTCTATGATCATGGCATTTGCAAGCGAAATATCAGGGATTCGAAAATAATAAGCTTCATGAATGGTAGCAATTCCGTAAATACTCTGATCCAAAGACTTTTAAGTAGATACACATTAAATTTCACAATATCCCGACTCTCAGCTAAAGTGACCCAATAAATTTTCCTTTAATAAAAGAGCAGAACGGACAGCAATAGACATACTTTAAAATAGAATAGACTTCACACTTTAAAAAAATTTAAAAAAAATTTCACTTCTTTTTAATTTTTAGTTTCATTTTTTTTTAGTGTAAAACGGTTTCTAATTTTTGTAAAAACATATTTCCTCTTTTTTTTATATAATAGGTAACATTAAAAAAATTAAACATCTAAAAAATGTGTCAATATTAATGAAAGGTTTAGGAATTTTGTCATACTCGACATATTTTTTTCCAATTATTATAGGAGTGAAGAGCCTTTTTAACCGGCAGGATACTGATGGTTGCCGGGAGTTCTGTCAGATATATCTATTATTAGACTGTAATATCACTTTCCATCAGATGAGGTGTATTGCAGTCGCTTTGTCATGATACAATAACAAAAAACAAATGTACATAATATACGGGCAGTAGCGGCGTTAGGGTAGGGCGCGGTTGGGCGACCGCCCAGGGGCGCCGGACGAAAAGGGGCGCCACAGGCCGCGGCGCCCCTTTTCGTCCGGCGCTTCTTTCTGATTCTGTATAATGAGGAAGTATTTCAAAATAACGAAAGCACTACAAAAATACCTCCACCTAGATGGCGACTCTAGTAAAAGTTGATTTTTGCAGGAAACGAATGGAACAAAGACAGTCATTTCCGTTCATTTTAACTAACATATTAATAAACTGAAATTTGAAAAGTTCGAAACTTAGATAGCAATACAAATACGAAAAAGTACAAATAGAATATGAGTTGTTAATTGAGTTTTGAAAACTAATTTACTTTTAAACATGAAAGAAAACAGGAAGGGTTGTCATGGAGAAATCAAGAACATATCGTAGCGACATCTAGTTTGATTTCGGGAACTAATGTTTTTTTTTCTAATACTTCCTCATTTCCCAAAGACGCCCTCTTATAGTTCCCTTGCTCATTGAACAAGGCCTACTGGGTCGGCAAAAAAAAGAACAAGAACCTTGAGGATTTTTTTTTATTTTCAAGTTGCCTCACTTTCAGTATGAATTGAAAGGAAACTTAACAATAAAAATATTATATTATGATAAAACAGAACAACATACCGATTACCAATATGAAGATATATATTTTAACTAGGTAATATGACGTACATTAGCGGGCATTATCGCTCAGTCATTTAAGAAAATTTTTGTTTGAGCATGTTTAAACGTTAAGTTGAAGTTAAAATGTTGCAATACAAACGAATGCATCGGTAGTGGAGCCTCTGTCTGGCAAGTCAGATGGAATAGCTACTCAAGAGATTGTGGATGAAAAATCCCGAAGTAAGGGAGCAAGTTGTGCTATGATTACAGATGCTGCTCAGGATAAATCTGTTATTAATGTACAACAAATGCATGTACTAGATGATGTTGATACTGTTCTCCCGAATATAGCGGATCCAGCTACTTGTCAACTTATTTGAAATAGTTGATCATATAATAAGTATTGGCCCACTGCAAACTCACTGTCACAAAGTTAGAAGAATTACACAAAGTAGATAACAATTATGTGATACCCTGTTAGGGTAAAAATGAATCTGTACTTATCTAATGATGTGATCCGATAAAATGAATCAGCTACTTATACACTATTTATATGTCTACTTTTTAAATAAAATTATATAGTTAGAACAAGAGCATCGTAACGTAGCGTTAAATGTTTGATTACTGTGTTTGTTTGTTTTAAAATAATCGAATAATTGTTTAAAGAGCGTCCACTTATGTCAAGCAAGAAGATAATTGTTGATTGTGTTCTTTTTCCTCAAAAATTGAAAGAGATAGATCTAGGGAATCCCCGATTATAGAAAAACACATTATTTCTCTATGGTCGGAAAGTCGGGGATTCCCGAGAAATTAAACTGATTGAACACTACGTTCCATTCTAATGCTGCCAACTTAACAATCTACCTAAATTTAGGGAAAATTACAAGTACAAGTAGGCCGGGTCAGCGAAAAAAAGACAAGTAACTGATTTGTAGTACGTAGTAGTAACTGATTATAATTGAATTGCAGTTAGAGGGCGGCGAAGAAATTTCGCCCAGGGCGCTAGTAGTGCTAAAACCGGCACTGTATACGGGAGGCCATATAGATAGTAGTCGCTGGGAAACAGTTCGATAGAAATTGGTCCTCAATTCAATAAGAAATCGATCGTCATATCTACTTACAAATAAAACGATATTAACTTACATTTTATAAAAAGTATAATCGACATTAAACTTTAAAAAGTGATGAATAATACTTATCTCAAAAGCGACTTATTCAAGAAGATGCAGACGGAGGTTTTCTGTAGGTTATTAATTGAATGATATTTTGTTTTGTTAAAAAAATTAAAACTACTTATTCGATTTCTACTTCGATCTATCAAGCTGTCGAATAAAAAAAGAATTTTTAAAATCGGTTTATAATTGACGAAAAAATCGGCTATTTTTTCGTCAATTATAATTGACGAAAAAATGGACGGACGACATCGTCCGAGTCGCGGGCGGCCGCTGGATGCAGCTGGCGCAATGTCGTCCGTCGTGGAGTTCAAAGGGGGAGGCCTATGTTCAGCAGTGGACGTCTTCCGGCTGATGATGATGATGATGATGACGTCAAAGTACGCGACTTATAGTAATATTTAATATTTTAAATCAAAACGATAACGGCCGGTTGCACAAACGTCATCAGTTTAAAGCGACATTACCCATACAAATTTATTATTTATTCGAGCTTAAAGATGTCATTAAACCCTAATGGACGTTAGTTTCTTTTATTTTCTTTATGAATACTTTGTAGAGCTATTACTGGAATATATATTAATTTGAAAATACCTGGTAGACGTTGTAAACCATTAAGTGAAATGAAAATACTACCGAAACTATAATGAAAGATGTATTTATACTTTATTTTCATCACATTAAATGTTTAGAAAGTGAAGTCTTATTTCTATTTGTGTTGCGATAAATGTGTTGCAATAATTATTTCAGATTTCAACATTTTGTAAAATAAAATATGTTCCCAAACTATAACATCGATTCAGAATAATTCAATTACTTTTTTACCACCTCACTAGTAGAAAAAATTTTACCACAATTTTGGAGTTCCGTACCCATAGGGTAAAATCGAAACCTTATTGCTAAGACTCCGCTGTCCGTCTGTGTATAACCAAGCTGTATTTTAGAACACTAATAGATTGACTTTAGAATTAATACTACGTAGATATTTCTCTCTTAGGATTGTTAGGAACAGGATTGCATCTCGTGTGAAAGATTTGTCTCCACTGGTTTCTGTGCAGCGCGTTTCTAACGACGGTGTAAAATTTCACCTGAGTGGTAAGTGTAAGTTTTACGCTAACGCGTTCACTAGTGAGCGCGTTAAGAATTTGTATGGAGATTAGTAGTTCTTGGTAGTTACCGCTAGGGGCGCTGTACTGGATTCCATACTAAAATCTTAACGCGCTCACGATCGACAGTGAACGTAAACGTCAAAAAAAACTTACACTAAGCGCTCTGATCGGTGCATCTACACTCGCGAGCAAAAGTCTGGAATCACTTACTTGAAATTGGTTCCGTGCGATCTTGTGTACTAAATACATTTTTAATTATCATAAAAATGACATCATTTTAAAGGCTCAATTGTCAACTTTAAATTGATACCAAATTCATTAAAATCGAGCCAGTAATTATGGAGCTATCCTGGATTAAGTGAAGGAGGTACGAAAACAAGGAAATATGTAAAAATAATGAATGAATAAAACAACAAAAATAATTCAATAAAAAAATTATTAAGCCTTCGGTACTTCCCACCACAATCAGTTATATAGTTATAGGTATTTAATTAAATTATAATACGAACAAATTAAGAAATGAAACACAATTTTTAAACAACATATTGTTTGATATAATTTCTTAAATGACATAAATTTTTGACTACGCCTTCATCACAAAGTTCACTTTCCGAGGCTGCCCGCACTAGAACTGGAACTAGACTGAGATCCTCCGGGTCCTCTGTTGATACTAATACTCTTAGAGATACTGATGGACCCTTCACCGAAACGGCGTGGGCCGAAACCACCGCCGCCGAACCCACGTCCGTAACCGCCACCAAACCCTGGTCCTCCAAATCCTGGCCCTCCATACCCTGGTCCACCGTATCCCCCACCATAGCCACCTCCATAGCCCCCTCCATAGCCCCCTCCATACCCTCCACCATATTGGGGTGAACGAACTTCTCGACTAGCTGAAACAATAAATCAAAGGAAAATTAAATTAAAATATTGTCAAGAAAAAATCTTTTAGGCAAACACAACATTCACCAATTACTTATAACT